GTTGCACTAAGCAATATTCCAGTTATATGACGGCGGTCTGTGAATAATCGAGTCTGGACGAGAAAATCCAGTGTTTGATATGAGCATCGATCCACGCAATTGGGATACGATGACATGCATCAGCCAAGCCAGCGAGCCTTGACCACCCGATTGCCACAGTCGCCTTTTACGGCAAGCATGGGTTGCTGAAGACCTATTCTAACCCGGATTTTAACGGGTCCGACTCGATCCTGAATCAATTTTGAACACAATGTGGTAGTGGAACAACACCATTCACTTTGAGATCCGTAGTCTCAAGCATCACACTGACATGAAATGGGGCGATATTGCACTTAAATCTGACTCAGAGGTTAGGTAATTTCTTGAATTCTCAGAGAGGCAGTCGAAAATATGTTCAGGGTAACATAATCCTTTGAGTATCCGTAACATTCATCCCAAAGCATGAGCTCCAAGTGATGAGCGTTGCCCCATATCGATCCTCAAGATATAACTCAACATTTTGAAAGGAACCAACAAGCAATTTCCCCTTGTTCAAACGTCTGCCAACTCTATCAGCTCTATTAGATCAATGTTCCAAAATGCTCGTTTCGAAAATAGGAAATCCATTCGGCAAGAAAATTCCTTTTTTTTTTAAACTGTCTGATGAAACTATTCCTTCGACGCATATTATGCAAATTTCAGGTCATTGTAACACCCAAAGTGCAAACTAGATCCTGGGAAGAATAGTAATTCAGCAACCCATGCTTGCCGTTAAAGGCGACTATGCTTGTCGTAAGTGGCGACTAACGGGATCGGGTGGTCAGGCTCGCCGACTTGGTTGATGCATGTCATCGATCTCAATTGCGTGGATCGATGCTCATAACATTAATCACTGGATTGTCTGGTCAGCAATATTTCAGCTATATGACGGCAGTCTGTAAATAATCGTGTCTGTACCATAACATTTTCAGCTTTCCCAACATTCAAAACGTTGCATGAAGGTGATCTTGCCAAAGTGGATTTCTTTGATTCCATCATCACCCTCGAAGAGAGAAACACCTGGTAGGCTTATTCAATACTTTATGAATCAATCATCCAGACAAAAAAGATTTGGTATCACATTATGATATATTTTGTGTTCACTCTTTTATGATCATGTATGTTTGGATAATTCTCAGCATTTTTAGTAAAAACAATGTTTATACATAGTCATATTATGGGTTTTTCTACTAATTACCAGTATGATATTCTTAATCATGCTTGCCGTAAAAGGCGACTATGCTTGTCGTAAAAGGCGACTAACGGGATCGGGTGGTCAGGCTCGTTGACCTGGTTGATGCATGTCATCGATCCCAATTGCGTGGATCGATGCTCATGATGTCAATCAATATAACGTCTGGTCCAGACTCGATTATTTACAGACCGCCGTCATATAGCTTGAATATTGCTGAGTGCGGCGTTAAACAACAAACCAACCAACCAATTATCAAAATGAAATGAAATATTTTCATCACTGATTACTTCTGATCATGTAGTAAACATGATACATTGAATTTTTGACAGAAAACTCACAGCAGCCACCTAAGCATATTACCTCAATAATTGATCTGGAGGCAGCCAAAACAGATGCCCACCAAGAGATGACACAGGTGCAAAAGAGGATGCTCAGCATATCAGGGGAGCACTTGGCTGTAGCGAGAGAAAGGCTTATCGACCCGTGAAGATTCCGGGGAAGAATAGGTCTTCAGCAACCCATGCTTGCCTTAAAGGGCGACTTTGCTTGCCGTAAAAGGCGACTTTGCTTGTCGTAAAAGGCGACTAACGGGATCGGGTGGTCAGGCTCGCTGACTTGGTTGATGCATGTCATCGATCCCAATTGTGTGGAACATGATATTAATCACTTGATTGTCTGGTCCAGACTCGATTATTTACAGACCGCCGTCATATTTCTGAGTGCGGCGTTAAACAACAAACCAAAGCTTTATATATATATATATATATATCACGCGTGTGTGTTTGGGGATGGTAAATATCCTGCATTGGGAATAAACATTGTATTCAGCGAGCTAAATACATAGTGTTTATTTCTAATACAGGTTATTTACCATACCCCAAACACACAAGCGTGATAACCTCTTTATCATAAAATGTCATTCTTGTGCTTCAAAATCGCTTTCCCTCTCTCACAAACATTACCGAAACATTGCGAGTTTTCCTGGAATGCGCGCATTAATATTGTTCATTACGTCACAGGGTAATTGATGTGTCAGTCGGACAGTGACAGTAGCCAATATAGTTCCAACAGAAATCTGTTTCTTAAACAGTGGCGAAGCAACATATACGCAAAACAACAATTGTTTTTAATTGCATTTCGCGTCAATCCATCGGTCTGTCCGCTAGAGTAACTGCCCTTTGTCAAAGGGAAGCTACTCTAACCCTAGTCTTTGAGACGTCAGGGCCAAGGTCAGACGTTGTTGACAGAGTCTGGACCAGACAATCCAGTGATTAATATCATGAGCATTGAGCATGAACGTTAAGAAGTGTAGTCAGATTTACACACAGCGACAAAACGAAACAAGGTAACAATTCAAACATATTTCGGCCAAATCCAACTATTTTAATTTGTGGAGAAGGTTTCAAGCCGCAGAGGTCTACAAGCACAGATATGACTACTGATCCCGCTTGGCTAGGCCTAGTGCCCTCGCAAAATTGTTTCGAAATTTATTTCTCCAAAGTTGCCAAAACTTATTAAATGACTTAGCTACGTCACAGTTAGACACTGATTTCAGTTATTTAGAATGTTGTTTTTTTTAATGATAGCAATTATCCCTGTAGTTTATCCAGATTCCCGATGGTTAATTCTGACTCGATCGCCTAATGACGAGGCCATGTTTGTTAATAAACAGTGAAAGTAGTCCCAACTTGACCTTTGATATTTGCATCTCTATCCGCATATGACCCCAACGGATATCGTTTTTATCCATTGGCTTTATCCTGCCGAGAAACCTACCCATTATGTGATAAATCTTGTTAGGTGATGATTTCAAATTTAAATGAAACTCGAATGTAAACCCAGAAATCTATGTACAGAACTAGATTTTGAAATCATTATTCGTTTGTTGATTTTAACGCAATACGACGGCGGTCTGAAAATAATCTAGTCTGGACCAGTCAATCCAGTGACTGACATCATGACCATCGATCCACGCAATATTGGGATACGATGACATGCATCAACCAAGTCAGCGAGTCTGACCACCCGATCCCGTTAGTCGCCTCTTTTGGCAAGCATGAATTGCTGAAGACCTGTTACCCCGGATCTTCACGATTTTGAAATCATTAAATTAATACACACGACCAATTGTTAAATTTTATTGAAATTCTGGTGTTGAATTTGTATAAGGCAATACAATGGGTCAGATATTTAGTACAACGGTGAACAATATGTGGCTGCAGTAATAAACAAAAAGTCTCAATCATTAAGTCAGTTCACTCACGAATGTCCAGTAATCCTCCCACTTGAACATCGTGAATGGGGCACGAGGTCCGACGTGATTGCAGGAATCAATGTGTAGTAACAGGAGGGAATCTCGGTATTTTCCAATAGGTATCCTGTCCGTAATGGGCAAGTACATGCAGATAAACGTATCTCCGTAAGGGTTGGATTGGTTGGTTTGATGTCTTACGCCGCACTCAGCAATATTCCAGCTATATGACTGCGGTCTGTAAATAATCGAGTCTGGACCAGACAATCTAGTGATTAATATCATAAGCATCGATGACATGCATCAACCAAGTCAGCGAGCCTTGACCACCCGATCCCGTTAGTCGCCTTTTACGACAAGCATGGGTTGCTGAAGAACTATTCTACCCCGGAATCTTCATGGGCTCGTCCGTAATGGGAAAGTACATGCAGATAAACGTTAGTCATGTCGTGGAAGGAAGGTCTCGAATCCTCCTCTTCTCGCTGCTATATAGGCACAATAGGCGTTTCTGTGGCCAACTAATGGGGACTGAAAATCAGCCATATACTTCCGTTAATGACGATACCTCCTCACACTTTCTAATACCGGGCGAGTGGCGAAGATTTGAAGCGCTGGTCAGAGTTTTGCGTATAAAATAACAGACCAAGGATGGTCACTCATAACAAGTTCACCACGCTGATTTGGTTGATGCATGTCATCGTAATCCAATTGCGTGGATCGATGCTTATGTCAATCACTTGATTGTATGGTCCAGACTCGATTATTTACAAACCGCCGCCATAAAGCTGTTATGCTGTTAAAGCTGTTGCTGAGTGAGGCGTTAAACAACAAACAAACTAATGAGCCTTAAGTCTGACGGATCGAGATCATGGGAATATCGTGGATGCTGAAGGAATTAAGCCACATGCAGCATACTACGCTTTGTTTATTATTGTCTGGCCTTTAAAAGACAATCATGATGACATCCTCGGAATCCCAGAACACGGAGTCCATATTAACTCTCCCAACTGACATTCTGTGCATTGTTTAGTAGTGACAACGTCAAATGGTAACTGTTTGATTGGCATTCTAGAAGTTGGTGAGTCAATAAGTAAACGTACAATTTTGTGGAGAACAACTTCTGGTTTATGGCAAAATGCGACGTATCGATATAGATTCTTACACCTTTATCAATCTTTAGTGTGAGTGAGTGGGTTGGGTTTAACGCCGCTTTTAACAGTATTCCAGTTATATCACGGCGTGTCAGCTTAATGTGGGAGGAAAGCTTGAAATGATGCAGGTCTCAGACGTTTACCACTTCGATGACACCCACGAGCACGGGTATGATGGTGCTGACAAACCTAGAAACATAATCAGGGCGAACCGTGATTCGAAGCCACCATCATAGGTTTCTGGAGTGCCCAAGGGACGCAACTCAGCCCAGCGAATCGCAGCGCCTTAGACCACTGGGCCATCCGTGCCCCCCTCAAGCTTTAGTGATTTCAGCCAAGTGAAGTGAGGTATGATATTTTGTGATACTCAGCAGATTAACATAAACAACAACAGGTAATAGGTAACATGTTTGTCCATTTTACAAAGGTCATAGACCCTGACTGTCTTACCGACTTGTCACCATCAAACAATTGACTTTTGTGGATATACCTCAATGACATCAAGAAGAAGAAGAAGAACTTTTATTTGCATTACGGCCTCGGGCCCGTATACATTTACAGTTCACAATATACCAATTGTTCACAGATGCAACGGTAAAGTAACGTGAAACATGACTTACGTCATAATTGAATTGTACTACTTGTTCTTTTTGCATAAGCGTATTATAGGAAACGTGATAAACTGTTTAAGACTGCTTCATTGTTATTACACTTTAAAGATTTGAAATGGTTCAAGCTAGGATATCGGCAAAGTTTTGCCGGTAAGTACTCTTTTCTGAGATCATTATAACATGAACAAATGAATAAAAAATGAAATTCATCCTCTATACCATAATTACAGACTGGACATATTCGAAAAGACTTTTCTATCGACAGATATCTGCCTTCATTATTTTTTAATTTTAAAAGACCTGCTCTAAATCTTACGATTATGTTTCTAAATTTTCTTTCATACAAAACTGAAAGATATTTTTCAGGTTCTAAAAGACTTTTAAAATGCATATAAATGATATCTTGTACTAGAGTTTAAGACTGATCTCCAGTTTTGGTAAAACATGTTTATACAAGTATCCTTAAAAAGGTCCCAACTGTTTGCGATATCCATACAAAACCAAAGCCATGAGAAAACAGAAGTAAACGAATGTTAGAAGCCCATGTATGGCGTCCACGGTTATCTAAATACAAAAACATATTATAAGCCTTTTTTGAAAATATGTCTTCATTCATATGAATTAATCAAGTGATATCCACAAGACATTTCAATGTGAAGCTAGAACGTAAGTCAACCTTATCATTCAGTATGTCAAGTTTGTGTACGAATGTTAAATATCACACGAACGCGGTATTAGTTCTGAATGTTTGGCTTCAATAAAATCCTTTCACCAATGACAGAACTAAAAAACTTTATTGACTGCACGCTGTCTCTCGGTAACCGATGTAGGAAGGTAAACAGCATCTCTCCATTCACCTTGCACTGAAAAATGGAAGAACATGCCATAGGTTTCAGTGATGAAGATGTTTAAAATTTGAAGATGTTAAAAACCGTTTCACCCTTAGTATTACTAGGAATCTTGGATAGTGCATTAATCTTTATCATATCAGATTTCTTGAGACACGAACCGAGATGATAATTGATTTTATTGTCCCGAAGAATTGAAATATGTAAAAGCAAATAGCCTAGTTGTCAATCCAAACATACCTGGAATTCTAAAGCAGTTGAAATAATCTCCATCGTGAACTTGCTGCCCAAATCAAAGGGGAAAGGGGAATCCAAGTCGCCCTCACCAGGGTACCAGATGGAGGCGTTGTAGATTTGTCTGAAGACCGACTGCTGGGGAATATTTACATATATCTTCAGCGGGTAGTCCGAACTTGGTGTTACGAAGACAACTTCAAACCTTGATTGGAAACAAACACAGACAATACAAGTATGGTAACTTAATACATTGATCATACCTGTTTAACGCCAAAATAACAAAGATAGTGATCTTTGAGGAAATATGCGCCATACACATTTGACTTTCAATTAGTGCAGACACCTGTTTAAATATGGAAGAAGATTGAAATTGTCCTTCAGGTTGAAAAAACACACAATAAATTGTAATTAATTGTGTTTTTAATATGCCAGTAACTAACTAACAACCGACAATTTTGTTCTGCAGAGAAACCCAAAAAATCCTAAATGGCAACCATGGAGGAATGAATTTCTCGTATATCTCGTTTGAGCATGACCAACAACCTATATATATTATTTTAAAAAAGAACACTTGGAATGTATTTACTCAAATAAATATCTATATTTTAGGAGACTATTTGATTTGAATTATATTATCTAATGAGTGAAAAAATATAAAAAGAATATGCAGAGAACAATTGTTCTTTGAGATTTTTTCATAAAGGATCCTGGCACGTGAAGATCCCGGGTAGAATGGGTCTTCAGCAACCCATGCTTGCCGTAAAAGGCGACTATACTTGTCACAAGAGGCTACTTTTGTTTTGTTTGTTGTTTAACGCCGCACTCGGCGATATTCCAACTACATGACGGCGGTCTGTAAATAATCGAGTCAGGACCAGACAATCCAGTGATTGACATCATGAGCATCGATCTACGCAATTATTGTTGTTTAAGCTGCACTCAGCAAGAACACGGCGGTCTGTAAATAATCGAGTCTGGACCAGACAATCCAGCGATTGATATCATGAGCATCGATCCACGCAATTGGTATCAATGACATGCATCAACCAAGTCAGCGAGCCTGACCACCCTATTTCGTTAGTCGCCTTTTACAACAAGCATGGGTTGCTGAAGACCTATTCTACCCTGGAATCTTCACGGGTCCTGCGCAATTGGGATACGATTACGTGCATCAACCAAGTCAGCGAGCCTGACCACCCGATCTCGTTAGACGCCTCTTACGGCAAGCATGGGTTGCTGAAGACCGATTCTACCCAGGTCCAGACCGCCGCCATGTAGCTGGAATATTGCTGAGTGCGGCTTTTAACAACAAAACAAACTAACAAACAAAATCATCAAGGATTTTAGTTTTCTGATGGAGATGTTCCTCTCCAGTTATATTACGGCCGTCTATAAATAATAATGTTGCTACTTGTGCTGAACATAAAAGAAAACAAACCCGCTTCCTGTTGGTGTTCCGGTAAATGAAAAACTGGAGTTCAGAGGGTGTAGGTAACTGCCATCGAAGCGTATGGGTGCTGCCTGAAGGTGGGAAACGAACCAAACTGATGAAAATAATCCCAGTAATGTATAATATATTGATTATTAGCAGTTTGATGAAGGAAAATACATTATTTTATATACAAAATACAACATGAAATAAACTAAGCATGCACAAGAGCATTGTTTTGTCTGATAAGCTAATCTAAATCAATACAAATTGAAGCCGTAAATTTGAATTTAGCATATATGCCTCGTCTAAATTATTCTTTGCGAAATCATATTTATAGGATATCATACAAAGTCACGTGGCTAAAGGTAGTTGCATTGGTTGCAACAAGTGCTTAACATATTCCGTTTCATTGGTTGCAACAAGTGCTTAACATATTCCTTTTCATTCAAAATGTGAACTTGCTTTGATTTGTTTGTTTGTATTCGTTTGCTTTTACCATTCATAATCACAAGCCTACATAAACATGACGCAGAAATACCTGTGAACCTAACATAATTACTGTATGAAACAGTGCATTCGCAACAAAGGTTTTTTCCACTCTTAACCAAAGAAATGTTATTATTTCTCACACAAATAAATAAATGAATGGTTCATTTGCTTTCAAGAAAGACTGAATTTGCCAATACATTTTGCTGAGTTCCCTCATATGTTGTAAAAAGCAAACAACAAACACTCTTGAAGATAACATTTGAATCAATACCATATAGCTGGCATACAGAAATAGGGAAAATTATCTTTATCTATATATACCTACTTCGCCAATACACGTTCCTGATTCCGTTGTCCAGACATAGGATGGATAGACACACAGAAGTGTGTCATTGGTTCCCAGGAACGCCTTTCCATCGTCGCATAAGTATGTTGTGGTAATGATGTCTTGTCTGCGATACACATACGGTTTGGTCGAGTTAGGAGAGCCACATTTTGCTGATTGAACAGAAGAAAACATTTTTATGTGTCAATATCAGAATAACCAGTCTCGATTATCCGCAAAAGGCAAAACAGCGGTGAAAATAATACGAAAGGATCACTGAAAATCGGTGATGATGTCAGGTGTTCGTGAAAAGGATAAGCATGTTCCGCCCCATCTTCCCGAGGCAAGGGGGTTGACCGACAAAGAAAGTCCAGTTTCCATCCTTGCCGAACAAGGCAGGAATTATGGAGTTACATTTTGGCTGGACTAACGCGTTTATGTATAGTTCAATCAAAATCGCGCCACGAAATCGAAATCCGGTTAGTAAACTGTCGTGCAGATTTCGGTCATTTGCAGGAATTGGAAAGCATGTGCACCGCCAACTCGTTGTTAACAGATAATTTCCAAGTCTTTTCATGTTTCTTATTAAGGTGCTCTTCGCGATGTAAGACCCGTTTTATCACAATATAGATCTTGATTATCGATCAGATCGTCTTGACTGGGTGCCGCCGTTTTGTTTTGAAACAAATGCAAGTGATACGAGAGGTGGAATCTGATTGGTCCATAGGGGAAGCTGAAAAGGGACATAACTCGTAATAACCATTGGTGGCGCTACGATCGAGCCCAGGAATTCAAGCCTAGTTCGGCAAGGGGGGTAACTGGACCTTCAAAGTCAGTTAACTCCTCGCCTTGTCAAGATGGTCCTGCCCAAACCATAAGCACCCACCACTCACAATTTTCATGACAATGGAAGTATGTGTTTGTTGCCTGACGCCGCACAGCAGCACTCCTGCCATGCGAGGGCGGGCTGTAAATAAACCTGACAACCAAGTGTTGGACCAGAAGCTCCAGTGACAATATAACGCATCTACGGATATTTGTTGATACTGAAAACGATCTGTTAATTTTGAATAACGTATGATGTGTACACGTGCAGAGATTATGTGGCTATTAGTAAATAAAAACGTTTAAGAAATATATGTTATATTTGGGGTAACACCTTCTTAAAAAAAGTACAGATTCCAGTACTTTTGGGGGTTGTGCCCAATCCAGGATTTGAGCCCGCACTGCCAGAATGAGACACCTAATCGCCAGCACACAAGTCAGCGATCTAAACCACTCAGCCAACCTAGGCTTCCCACACTGGTAAATTGGCACGGCTCCAATGGTTGGTTAGGGTTGGTTTGTTGTTTAACGCCGCACTCAGCAATATGCCCGCTATATGACGGCGGTCTGTAAAATAATCGAGTCTGGACCAGACAATCCAGTGATTTATATCATGAGCATCGATCTACGCAATTGGGATCGATGACATGCATCAACCAAGACAGCGAGCCTGACCACCCGATCCCGTAAGTCGCCTTTTACGACAAGCAAAGTTGCCTTTTACGGCAAGCATAGGTTGCTGAAGATCTATTCTACCCCGGAATCTTCACGGAATCTTCACGGGTCTCCACGCAATTGGGATCGATGATATGCATCAACCAAGTCAGCGAGCCTTACCACCCGATCCTGTTAGTCGCCTCTTACGACAAGCATAGACGCCTTTTACGGCAAGCATTGGTTGCTGAAGACCTATTCTACCCCGGGTCTTCACGGGTCGTTTTTCCAATGATTCAACGATCCCAATTGCGCGGATCGATGCTCATGATATTAATCACTGGATTGTCTGGTCCAGACTCGATTATTTACAGACAGCCGTCATATAGCTGGAATATTTCTGAATGCAGCGTCAAACAACAAACCAACCAACATTGGATAGACTGGCCCTATTAGGTAAGTTTCCTTGCCCTTCTCTTTTCAGACCTTTTTGTTTGATTGACAGAACTTAGGATCCTTTTCGTAACCCATTGATTGTAGAAATCTGTCAATACTTGACGGCTTGGATTAAAAGAGCTGGGTTCATAGTCCTGATCGTTAGATTTCTTTGTCAGGAAGAAAAAGCTACACAATACATTGCATAGTTCATTTGGGGGTATGGTTTCAATCGGTCTAGCCTCAGCGTTGGCGTGAATTTCTCCAAAATACTTAAGTCATATTTCTTCTCCAGGTGTTACGATTTTGATTTTGATGTATGAAATTGTCAGTGTTTCAACAGTCATACTGATACACATTGTCACCTGGTATCATCAAAAAAGTCATCCTTAAATAGTTCCTCATAGACACATTCTGGAACAGTGTCAAATGGGTTCAAAACGGAGAGGCCAATGATACAGTCTCAGGGACCAAAGAAATCCATGCCGCCCTACTTGCCTCAATTCACCATTTAGAGGGATATTGTAGGCATTGAATGTTCCAAGTGGCTGAGTAATAGAAAACACCCGTCCTCTAGCGTCTCCGTCAATTTTGACACAATCGTTAACTCGAATAGTCGTTGCCATCCTTCGATCTGCACTAACACTTTAGCAGACGATCGTGCTGGGGATGTTGGTTTTGTGAAGTGAATTTGTTACCAAATGCAAAATGTTTCAAGATAGCCGAATAAAACACCATTTATTTTTATGACATGTATTAAAATTGCTTGTGATTATTTGTTAATGTCTCTCGTTTTCACGAGATTCCTTCAGTTCTGCTTCGTAGTAGTAATAGTAGCAAAGAGTTGTGAAAGTGAATGACGTCTCGTGATTGTTTATGAATGAAAAAAGTTGTTGCGGTGTGACCGAGGTCACGGTTATCCAACCAAAACGACTAAATGGAGGTCAACCTTGTGCGACACACGTGTGACGTACGGATGTAGTATCTTACCACATGTATCTTCACTAAGAATTACCCATATCTATGTTGTATCATCGCCGACCAAGCTATATGCATGCATTTCTGCAAAGCGATAGGCGATACGGTGCGCGAAATGTGAAGGCCTTATGCAACGTTCGTCAGTATATGTTTAGCAATTTTGACAGCAGCACATGTAATAATTAATCAGGCAAAGAGAGGTGGGTATTTGTTTCCAGAAATTGTAACAGAAGCAGGCACTTAGAAATCTTGTCATGAACTACAAATCATAATACAATTTTCAAAATAAATTAACTGGAAATCTATTTTTATGTTTAAGGTTTTATTTCATTGGTGCATTGTTTATGCAATATTTTATGGATGAATGGTTGCTGTTTGTTACCAATTACGTCTATGATAACATTTTCAGTTGATAAATGAAAAATATATTTCATCATGATTACTATGGATTTTTTTGATTTTTTTTAAATCATATTTTTTTCAGACTCAAAAGTGAGTGAGTTGGGTTCAACGCCGCTTTAAACAGTATACCAGTTATATCGCGGCTAGACACAAAAGACCCTATGTATTAGTTGAAATAAATATTCAAAGGTACTTATACAAACTACAATTTTTCATTTGATACATTCAAAACAATATGTTCATACTAATTTCCAATCTCTATTATGATTATTGTATTAACATTGCACCGTCTACTTTCAGTTTGCTTTGACAATCATCAGATGACAATGATGATTGTAATATAGATAAAGCTCACATCATAAACCCCAATGGGCATCTTGATTTCTTTGTTGTTTGTGTCACAATAGCAAGATCCATGTCATCACTTCACCTTCAATGTACTTAAGTGATCCTCTGCTGTTAATCTCATAGGCTTCGTCATTATATTGTTATCTTTGAACATTAATCCTATCCCGTCGGCTTTGTCATTATATTGTTATCTTTGTACATTCACCCACTTTGTGTTGTGTAAACAAATCATCATATACTAGTAAAAAATATAAACTGTCATGTATCACAGATAAAGCTCATTCTTAATTTCCTTAGACCTTGCTTTTATGAAATTCCCGCACAAACAAATAAAATAATGTTATTCTTTTTTTTCTCTTTACATCAACAGATATCTGCATTGCACATTAATATTTGATATCTTTGTATACTTGTGCATGTGTACTAGTATTTGTTTACATATGCATTACGTTTTAGCAGTCATTGTATATAAATGTAATCTGTTATATTTAAAAACAATTAACATGAATATATGCAGGGCTTAGAAATGCAATTTTTGCCAAGTGTGCCACAAGGCACAAGGTATAAAATTTAGGTGTGCCTTGGGAAATCATGGGGTGCCCAGCCAATTATTTGTTACATTTCAGCATTAAACTTTTTAACAACCATTAAAGTGTTTGTTGTTTATTTGTGTCTCTCTGTCAGTAGTTCAATCAAAATATTAATAAATTCATGTAATTGTAAGTAAATGAGACATCTGTAATCGTAATAGTTAGTGATTTATTCAAGTTAAAGTGAGTTACAAACTTACTTTACTGACTTCCATTTAATGACTGTGACAGACAAGCCCCCTCAACTCAGTTACTGTCAGATTGTGACACAGAGGCTTTAACCCTAGTCCCATAAGCTGGGTTCCACCTTCTGTTGACTGCACACATCCACTTAGCTATTGCACCCTGTGGACTCTATTTCTCTAGTGTTGTGTTGCACTGGTCAACTGTCATTGGTGTACTTGACCTAAGCATGATCTCCAGTCTGTCTTTACCCTCCCCATCATTGAAAATCCCCTCTCACAATCTGCAGAAGAGACTGCAAGTACCAGACTAATTTTCAACAATTCCAGGATGTTGCTGTATCGGTTGTAAACTCTGTCCTGTTGGGGGGCGGTCGGGTAGCCTCGTGGTTAAAGCGTTCGCTCGTCACGCCGAAGACCCGGGTTCGATTCCCGACATGGGTACACTGTGTGAAGCCCATTTCTGGTGTCCCCCGCCGTGATATTGCTGGAATATTGCTAAAAGCGGCGTAAAACGTCACTCGCTCACTGTCCTGTTGGATCATTCTTGACCATATGTGCAATACAAGGTATATAACATGAGGTACATCATGTTTCTGTTTAGCTGCCACACCCCCTTTCTTCCAATCATAACTGGAGCCCCATCTGAAGTAAAATCCACTTACCTATTTCTGTTTTATTTTCATTATTTACGTTATTTGAAAATCATTTTAAAAAGAATTATAAATAGTTTCTGTCATCACCCATTTCCCGATAACA